TAAGGTAGAATTGGGATCATGATAGTGGGGGCGGGGAGGAAGCATTTAAGAACTAGAGGAAAGTTGTATGTTTCATCGTTGCTACCCTGCACTCTGACTGGTTTGTCTCCTCTCTGCGACCCTTCTGGGAGGAGATGTCTAGTTGCCTACAGATGCGCTTTGGCTCTCCAATCTGCACTCCTCATTCATAATGATATGGTTTTTGGGGAACAGTAGTGTTTTATCCCTCCAAACACCTGCAGGTAAACTCAAAGCATGTCACACAGCTGAATGCAGACAAAGAACATTGCTTATGATCCCATGGTCTTCTTTGTGGTTTGGGCCACTAGCACCACCTCTGTGCATTTGTCCTGTTGATAGGTGCAGTTGAGCTGGTTTCAATTCACAGTGACCCCATTTAAAGCAAAACGAAACTGCCTGTCGCAGCACCATCCTTCAGATTGCTGCCGTTTGAGCCCACTATTGCAGTGACAGTGTCCATTCACATTTTGGCCTAGTCTCCGTAATCCAGCAACCTCAATAATCCCTTATTGCCTTCAGAAAATGTCAGGAAAAAGAACAGTCAATAGCCAGATAGGGAGAAAAAGGGTCTTTAAGGCCTATTCCTGGGTAAGAAACTCAAAGTACAATTTCCAATCTCAAATTTACTGTATGTGCAAGATCATGTAAATTCACATCCAATCACGAATCCTCAGATGGAAATGGATCCACCTGCAGTGATGGCTTAAACGAGAAAACAGCAGCATCCCTGTAATCTGCTCACTCATTCACTGCTATCAAGTCGATGTCAACGCACAGTGACCCTGTAAGAGGGTAGAACTGCTCCTGGGGGTGTCAGAGCCTGGACTCTTCATGGGAGTAGAAAGTCCCATCTTTCTTCTGCAGGGAAGCTGCTGGTTTTAAACTGCTGACCTTTCGGACCACAGCCCAACAGGTACCCACTACACTACCAGGGTTCCTCATGTTTAATCCACAGACAAGAAAAATACCAAAGAGGAAAGAGTGTTACAACAGCTAATATATATCCTGAAATAAGGCTGGTTACCAGCCTTTTTCATGTGGTTATAAGTGGGTTTATCTAAAATACAAATATAAGGAGTGTGTGCCTGTAACTGTGGACCAAACAGTTCAATTCCAACATCAGGCCTAAACTCTACTAGTTAACAGTGTCTTTTACTTACCTAAACAATGCCAATTACTCAAGTCAATAAAGAGTTGTCATATCATGGGAGGACCAAAGTTATCTACTTCAGTTTTGTAGTCTTGTTATTAAGGTGACTGAGAAACCAGTTCTTAAGTTTCAAAGACCTTTCCATACATAAAAAACTTGCTTAGTAGAAAGAAAATGTTTTGGAAATGATGATGGCAACATATGTACAAATGTGCTTGATACAATTGATGGATACAAATTGTTATAAGAGCTGTAAAAGTCCCCAAATTAAAAAAAAAAGCTTGCTTGTCCACCAGCTGTGAAGGGGGTAAGTCTTGGTATTGGAGGCCAATGTCTGTAATCGTGTTTTCTCAGAAGGGCCACATTTAGTGAGTTAGAGCTGCAATAAGAGAAATACCGCAAGTATTTCTGGCTTTCACCGATACCTATTTTCCAGTCTAGGAGGCCGTAGTCCACAGTCAAAGAGTTGGCTCTAGGGAAAAGCTTTCTCTTCTCCAGGGTGGAGAAAGGTCCTTGTCTGTCCTGAGATTCTCCTCCTGGGCAATCTTCACGTGACTTGGATTCTCCAGGCCCACGTTCCTCTTCGCTTGCTGGTCCTCATCTTTTTTTATTTCAAAGGAGACCAACTCGAGATACCCCCGACACGAATTCTGTCTCACTAACGCAGCACCGACATTGTGTTCCCAAGTGTTCCCAAGTGGGATTACAGCCACACGTGGGGAGGTTAGGGTTTATGACACATATTTGGGGAACATAATTCAATCCATGACAGACATAAAGTCCACTGCACTTTCTAACAGTAAAACACCTTATATATTTTAGCGGTAGGGTTCACCAACTCACCTGTTTTTTACCACTTCTAGGATCATGGCCGAAACACAAGAGTTTTGACAAACTAGATTCTGAAGAAATTTTGAACCTTGGAGAAGTTGAATATCCTTAAAGCTCTTCACAACGCAAGTCTTTAAAAGGTCAAGCACCTAAGAATTAAAGAAATTGGAAACTGAAACAAAAATGATAGCCCAAACATGGATTTTTAACTATATAACTCATTGCCTCAGTCATATCCTTATGACAACTCTTTCACTAGATGAGTATGCTGCAAAAATAACAACTTTCAATGAGAACTTCACGTCTGTGATAGTTAGGATAAGAGAGAAAAGGGCTGAAGGGGCTTCAAACAGTATGTGGAAAAATTCCACTATCTCCTTATACCATTTTTCCATGAACTTTTTGAAGCCCTTCATATACAAGAAAAAAAGAGTCAAGGGTTTTTGTGTTCACCCTTTTAACCTATTCTCATTAATTAACTTCAACTTGATCAGGGAATAATTTTTTAAATAGCTACTATTAGGTTTGCTGCAAAGATAAACTGAGGCCAGGCCAGAGAGAAGGAAAAGAAGTTTATTCTGCACTTCCGGGCGAGACTCACAGGCTCTAGCAAGGAGTCAGTGAAGTGGCGCTGCCTGGGAGAGAGGGGAGAGCAGAGAGAGAGATGGGAGCCCTGAACTCCCTGGCAAGCTCCACGGGCCCCCAATGGGGGCCCTGAGAAGTTGCACTTATCTGTGATGGGCACAAGTTTTTAAGCTGGTCAGGAGGGTAAACAGGGGGCGGGGGTAGAAGCTGCAGGTGGGGAAAGGAGGAAGGGGTTAGGAGTTGCAGCTTTATGCCGTCTCCATCCATAAAATTCCAAGGTAAGGTGGTGCCTTGATCATTCCGAAGTCTGATACCGAGGAGAGGGTTCATTGTTGTGGGGCCCTTTGAATCTAGCCATCTTGGTCCAATAAAGGCAGGCAGGCTTTTCCTAATGACCCCCAACCAGTACCTGACCCAACAGCTACATCATAGCAAATAATATCATTTTATCTAGCAAAACTTCATCCAGCTGACCTCCCATCTTTGCTACTTGGGATGTGATGGCATTCCATTCTCCTTTCTACCACATTGCCTGGGTTAGCACCGGGAAGGCTATACAAGTGTAAATCAAGTACCTGAAGATGTCTTCCGGCAGCCCCAGGAAAGAGTGTGGGGTCTACAGAACTTGGTGCTGGCAGGATGGGTAAAATGGTTATAGACACAATAGTAACAAAAACAGGCTCATGCACTCTTTTACCAACTACAGAAAGGATTGAAAAGATCTTAATAAATACCTGTTCCTCAAATCTTTGTATCCTTGATACAGAGAGCAGGAGGGCAATGGTGAAGGGGCACAGTTTCTTACTGGGATCGCCCTGCTGTCCTGTCTAGAGATGAAACAGTGCATTACTTACTGATCAAACGTGCAATAAAGCCTACTTACAAGTAGGTCCTGGAGAATGGACCACAGAACTAAAATCTAAGAGCTGAAATGAAAACTTTTAAAAGAAAACACAGCTAAGAATCTTCTAGAACATGAGTTAGGCAAAGCTTTCTTAGCTATAACACCAAAAGCACAATCTACAAAAGGAAACAAATTTAAAAACTGGAGCTCACCAAAATTTAAAATCTTTGTGTTTTAAAAGATACTGTTAAAGAAAAACAAAAACAGGCAAACAAAGAAAAACAAGGAAAAGACTGGAAAAAATATTTGCTAATTACAGGCCTAATAAATGATTTGTATACAGAATCTACACAAAATTCTTACAATGCAATTCAATAGTAAGACCAACAATGCAATACAAAAGTAGGCAAGACTTCACTAGACTATTTTACCAAAAAGAGATATTCAAGTGAATAATAAGCACATGAAGAGATACTCAAGTATCCTTAGTCATTAAAGAACTATGTTAAGACCTCAATGAGATACCACTTCTCTGCTACTGTAGTGGATATAAGGAGCCCTGGTAAAACTGTTGAGTAAGCATTGGACTGGTTTTTGGTGGTTCAAACCTACTAGCTGCTCCAAAGGAGAAAAATAAGGTTGTCTGCTTCTGTCAAAATCCACAGCCTCGTAAACTCTATGTGGGGTTGCTGTGAGTCAGAATCAACTCAATGGCAGTGGGTTCAGACTTTATAATGGATATACGGAACCTTGGCAGCACAGAGCTTGGCTGCTCACTGAAAGGTCAGCAGCTGGAACTCACCAGCTGCTCCACAGGACAAAGATGTGAGACTGTCAGCTCTTCCGTAAGGATTACACCCCTATGGGGCAGTTCTACTCTATTATATCGGGACACCATGAGTCAGAATCAACTCAACCACAGGGTTTTCATGTAGCATGGATATAATAACCAAGACAATAATAAATGTAAACAAGGCTGTGGAGAAACGCAACATTCAGACATTGTTGGTGGAAGTGTAAAAGTATAAGGTCACTTTGGAAAAGTTTGGAATTTTCTTCAAAATTTAAAAATAAACTTATACATGGCCCAGCAATTCCAATCCTGGGTCTCTCCCCAAATGAAATGACAACAGTTGTCCATACAAAGTCTTGCATGTAAACATTCATTATTCATAATAGCCAAAAAGTGGCAATAACTCCATTACATGCTAAGCATCTAACTAAATAAAACTGATGTACAGAATAGTTATTCAGCAATAAAAAAGATGAAATACTACATACTACAACATAGCTGAATCACTCAAAAACATTATGCTAAGTAAAATAAGCCATAAGCAAAAGACCATGTATCGTACAATTCTACTTCTAGGAACTCTCTAGAAGAGATGCCTCTATAGAGGCAGAAACTAGACTGGTGGTTGTTTGGCCTTGGGGATGGAAATACAGATGAACTGTGAAGGGCATGAGGCATGCTAAAGGATGCTGAAAATGTATAAAGTGGATCGTGGTGATGGCTGCAGGTAAGAGACCACTTATGAAAAATCACTGACTTGTATACTCAAAACGGGTGAACTTTTTGATTCATAAATTTCAATATAACTAAGTAAAAACAAACAAGACCTTTGAGGTCTACTGGAAATGACACCAGAAAAACAACAACACCGAACATGAATGCTGGAGAGTGTATGCAGAGACGGGAACCCTCACACACTGTGGGTGGGACTGAAAATTGTGCCGGCACTATGGAAAGCAGTACGCACATCTTTAAACAAATGCCAACAGACACCTATGTCCCAGCAATCTCTACTTGGAATGTACCACAAAGCAATAAAGGGCATGAGCAGATACATGCACACCCATATTTATCGCAGTGTTATAGCAACAATAGCAAAAAGATGGGAACAACACAAATGCCTGTCTACGGAGGAATGGACAAGTTGATTCTGGTACATACATATAGTGGGACTATGCATCCCTGAAAAACAAGGGTGACACTGTCAAATGTCTTATAACATAGACAAATTGGGAAGACATTATGCTCAGTAAAGTTAGTCGATCTCATAAAGACAAGTACTGTACATGCCCTCTATTATAAAAGAAAAAAATCAAGAGAAATGGTTTTCACACCAAAAGAAGCAAACTGATTGTTCTGGGGAGGCCAAGGGAAATGGAGTGGGGGTGGAGTGAGAAGGGAGAAAGGAGAAAACAAATAAACAAACAAAACAAGAGTTCAACATACTTGTGCTTTTTGTCAACTTCATAGTTGACAATGAACGCCTTAGCTTCATAAAACCCCCATGATATATTACTAGAAACTGGCAATATCCATAAATGATGAAGTAGAGCAGATGTTCAAGGTCACATAAGACAGCTCAGAGATAAGAGTTTGAGTTCCTGCTGAGCAGTCCCGTCTTGTCATTAAATAGCATATAACGCGCTCAGATTTCACAAAACGATGCTAGTGTGCATCTGTGGGAGTTTAGTGCTACCTTTACGTGTTTCAGGAGTTCTCTGCCTAGGTCCCGATCCAATTTGATGGCAAACACAATGTGTAGAATAATGGTGCCTTCCACATGACGGAGTTCACCTGATGGCACAGTCACAAGATCCAGGAGCCTAAACAAGTCAACAAGAAGATATGAACTACGGTCCAAGCAAGAGACAACAGATGCTCAGATGAACAAATGCACCAAATGAAGTTGAATTCACACATTCACTGAAGTCAGGCAAATGAAGACATTCTGTAACATTATTCCCACTTCCTCCCTCATACTCTCTTCCCAGTCCAATCCAATTTAACCAGGCCTGTCCCCTCTAACCTTCATGACACAGACTGTTCTTTTAAGGGCCACAAATGACCTCCCGCTGCCAAAACCAATCAAGTCCCATTTTAATGAACATCTTAGCAGATTTAAAAGTGGACCACTTCTTTCTTGAAATACTTTTTCCTTTTGCCTTCAACAACTAGTTGTTTTGTTTTGTTTTTTAAATGATTTTTCTTCTTCTCTTGTGTGACCATTAAATGCTGGAATGCCTCTTAACTGTTTCTGGTGCCTTTCTCCTGTCTCAGGAGCCCTGGTAGGATAGTGGCTATGCACTGGGCTGCTTAACCACAAGGTCAGTAGTTCAAAACCACCAGCTAGCTCTGAGGGAAAAAGATGAAGCTTTCTGTAAAAAAAACTTTCTATAACTCCCAGAGTTAGACCGATAAACAAGGCAGTTCTACCTTGTCCTATATGGTAGCTAAGAGTTGTAATCAACTCAATAGCTGTGACGTTGGTTTTCTCTTCTCTCAATGCCTACGTACACCCACCCAAACACAACACTAAGCCCCCTCTCCCTACAACTCCAAACTGCCTGTCCAAGATCTCCATATAGGATGTTGATAAACACCTCAAACTTATAGTAGAAACTGAAGTCAATTATTTCCCCTCAAATTTGCTTTCTCAGTCATCCCTAACTCATACTACAGGGCCATCTTCTTAACTACTAGAGCCAAGTGAGTAGGGGTGAGTGCAGATCAGAAGCCGTAAGGGGTGCTAGGGCTAATAGCATGGACTCTGCTGCACAACTGCCTGGGTTCAAGCCGGCTGTACAACCGACAGTCTTGAACTTCTTCGATATGTAAAATAAAGGCAGGGCTGGGTGGGTGTGAGGTTGAAGCTGTTTGGAATAGCACCTGGCATGAGTTAACACACTACCAATGTTTGTTTGGAGAAAAAAAAAGTGCCCTTTTGGTTCTCTGCACGGCACCATGGCGGTTGGCAAGAACAAGCGCCGTACAAAAAAGGAGCTAAGAAGAAAGTGGTTGATCCATTTCCTAAGAAAGACTGGTATGATGTGACAGCACCAGTTATGTTCAATACAATACTGGGAAAACACTAGTGACCAGGACTCAAGGAACCAAAACTGCATCTGATGGCCTTGACGGTCGGGTTTTTGAAGTGAGCCTTGCTGATCTCCAAAATGATGAGGTTGCCTTTAGAAAATTTATGTTCATTACTGAGGACATTCAGGGCAGACACTGCCTGACCAACTTCCCTGGCATAGAGCTTACGCAGGACCAGGTGTGCTCCACAGTTAAAACATGGCAGACCATGATGGAGGCTCATGTTGATGTCAAGACTACTGAGGGGTGTCTGCTTCATCTGCTCTGTGTTGGCTTTACTGAAAAACGCAATAATCAGATTCGGAAGACCTCTGATGCTCAGCTCCAGCAGGTCCGCCAAATCCAGAAGAAAAGGATGGAAATCAGGACCCGAGAGGTGCAGACAAATGTCTTGAAAGAAGTGGTCAACAAACTGATTCCAGACAGCATTGGGAAAGACATAGAAAAGGCTTGCCAATCTATTTATCCTCTCCATGATGCGTTTGTCAGAAAGGTAAAGATGCTGAAAAAGCCCAAATTTGAATTGGGAAGACCCATGGAGCTTCGTGGTGAAGGTGGAAGTCCTGGAGAAACTACGGGAGACGAAACAGGTGCAAACGTGGAACGAGCTGATGGCTATGAGCTACCAGTTCAAGCATCTGTTTAAAATTCAGACTTAATGTTGACAAATAAAAGGTCTTATTGTGAAAAAACAAAACAAAACAAAAACACAGCCTTTTTTCTTCTTTTTAAAATAATTTTACTGGGGGCTCTTATCACAATCCACACAACCATCCATTGTGTCAAGCACATTTGTACATTTGTTGCCATCATCATTCTTAAAACATTTGCTTTCTACTTGAGCCCTTGATATCAGCTCCTCATTTTCCCCTCCCTCCCCACCCATCCTCGCTCACGAACCCTTGACAATTTATAATTATTATTTTGTCATGTCTTACACTGACGTCCCCCTTCACCCACATTTTCTAGTCACACTTCTGACACCCAATTCCACACTATCAGCCAGTCTTGTCTCTCCCTCCAAGATATTCCAAATTACCCATCTTTCTCCAATGTACTACTGCTACCCTAATCCAAGTCAGCATCAGATAGCTTGGATTACAATAACCTTATCACTGCTCTCCCTCTCCTACTCTACCTATAATTTTACTGTATCTTCCTTTTTCATACCTTGCCATTGGCCATCCAACAGGCAATGAGGTCTTTAAACACAAATCAGATTTCCCTAAATTGATGACGACTATGATTTGCTTTCCATCTGACTGGTATCAAAGTGCACACTCTTTAGTCTTATTCAGAAGTTGTAGCTGAACTGGCCTGACCTGGCTTTCTGTTTTTGTCTTGGTTCACCACCCTCCCTCCTACTGCATTCCAGCTACATGGACCTTTTTGTTTCCGATATGTCCTACCTGTACACTGTTCTCATAGTCTTTTTTTTTTTTCCTTGCAGGTGGACCAGGTCCTTTTATGCAGGTCAACATACAAGGTGATACCAAGGTAAGATGAGAGAGGTCCAGTGTGGAAGCTTCTCCTGCCCTCCCCCAGAATCCTGGTCCAGTGGCTGCCAAAGCCAACAAGGTCTGGGGCAGGACGCACGGTCACAAGGAACAGTGATGCTGCGTTGGCCTGGAAATGGGACGATGGGCGGGTTTCACTCCTTCACCATCTGAATGACATCCTCATCCTCTAACGTGTGATCTTTAGCTACTTTCTGAGGATTGTTTCACAGAGACCCCACACTAGAGAGTACTGAAATTCTTTGATAGGACTTTGTCGATCTTCATGCAGAAATCTTTCCCTGTGGACCTGGAGTTGGCAGCACGACTGGGGAAGTATAATCTGGTAACCGACCATTGGGTTTGGCATACATCCTCATTAGTTTTCGTTAATTCCCTATCTTTTCCAAAAAGTCAGCAGAATTCAGTGGTGGTGAGCAGGATGGGCACACAGAGACAAAGTCTACCCAATTCCTCAGTGGAGATCTGATTAATCTTATTTAACACATAGACACAGGGGACATAAACTTTTTCCTTCCACCATGTCAATAGGGTCATCAACTGCAGCATGACTAGCAGTGTCATAGCAACATTAGGAATTTTGCATTTAGCCAGAACGTTCTGCACTGTTTCAAGTGGCTATGAGATTCATGCCTCCCTTGTCCTTCTTTTTAAAGTCAATGCTGGGGGATTTCCTGTTCAAATGAATGCCAAAGCCTTTCAGCTTATTTTTTCAATTACCCTGTGGCTGCCCCAAGGGCTTCAGGACATTCAGAATGACCAGAATCAAGTTCCAGGTTCAGGCCATTGCAATGACTTGGAGCCTTTTACCTATGCCACCCTCAGCACCCTTAATGATGGCAGGGAGATTCACAAGCTGGATGTTTCTATCCGATGACACCAGGCACAATGGTCAAACAGTGAACTCAAAGGACGTTACCTCGGAATATATCCCTGCCAGAGTACTGAGCAGTGTTGACATCCCCACAGTTGGAAAACCCACAAATCCCGTTCTCTCATCACCTATCTTGGCCACATCAAACCTTCTCCTGCATTCCCCTCCTCACCCCAGCGCACGCACGCACGCGCCGCGCCCCAGCCCCACATTTTGAAGTAACGAGCTCTCTGAGAAGCTTATGAGCCTTGAGCAGCCCTAGGTGGTGTGTGTGGCCTTGCTGTTCCTTTGAGTCTGAGCCATCTTAGCTTTGATCTATGAGATCTTGGCTACGGTGCTGTTCATGGGGGCACATCGGGGCGTGAAATGCCAGTGGCTTCCTCTCTGCCCTCCTATGTGCTCTTCTCTATGCGCTGTGGCTCTTTCTTATCATCTTGGTCTCAGTTAAAGTAGCATCTTCTCAGAGAGGCTTCACCTGACCACTCAATCCTAGGCTGTCCCTATCAGCCTATCCTATCATCCATCTGCATGGCACTTTCCACTCTAATACTTTTCTTGCTGTTTACCTGCTTATCTTTCTATTTTCTTCTCACTAAAACTTCATGAGAGCACGGACCGTGTCTGATTGGTTCCCCGAGGCAAACTAGTTTCCCGGCACAGAGTAGACATTAAAAGAATAGCCGTGGAACTTACGATGTATATAAGAGCTAAAGAACACATGAAAGTATTAAAGAGGCTGCACTATCCATTGAAGACCTCAGCAGTTAGGGAATAATTAGGGAAGCTCTGTGCCGAAGCGAAGGGAAGGTGCAAAAAGGGAGAGATAGCAAAACCACAGCATGCAAAGACGACCTTCATTTCTATGCTCCATTACTCACTCATCTCCACTGTGTTCTTCATTGTGCTGCTCATCTAGCTCATTGAAGAAAGCGATGATTCCTTCCAAAGCCCTCTTTTTGCTTCCCTGGGGGAAAAAAAAAAGGTAAGACCTCCCCAAGGAGGGCAGGAGGACCAACATAAATTTAAAGAGGGGTTTCAACAAGTTTGTGAAAAATGGAATTGAAAAGTAGTGGTACTTTTAGCTTATGCCCTGGTACTTTTAGCTTAAAGGATTCTCAAGTACAATTTAAAATAGACACAGACCTATCACCCCGAGTCACACTCAGAATGTAGAGAACACATTCATGTCAACACTGGGTTTTAAATATCTTAGAATCACACTTCAAGGGGCCTACATTCCGCCTCTGCGAGACCTTTCTTCCTTGTGCACTAGACAACATGGTAGCACAAGGGAAAAGGACTGTTTCCTTGGCTGATCAGCTCACCATACATGAGACAAAATGACCTAGGACCTTGTGCAGACACGGAGAGTATGAATAAGCTAAATGACCCTAACTGTGTTCTACTCTCACAAAGAGACACTTGTGTTTATTCATACCTTCGAGGAGAGAATCAGAAGCTGGTAGACCAAAGGCGGTATTTCTTGAAGATTCAATTTGGAGAAGATCTTCAGCACTTTTTCCATCACAAATTCCAACTCTTCGGTAGTCAGAGGGACATCCCTGTGGACCAAAGATTCTAAAGGTACAAAAAACCTAACCCAAACTTGCTGCTATCAAGTCAATTCCAACTCAGTGACCCTATCTGATAGAACAGAACTGTCCCAAAGGGATGCCAAACCTGTAAATCTTTATGGGAACTGCCTGTCATATCTTTTGCCTGCAAGCGGGTGGTAGGTTTGAACGGCCTACCTTTAGGTTAGCAGCTGAGTGATTTAAACACTGAGCCACCAGGGGTCCTGTTTACAGAAGCGCAATTTGAGATTCGTTATATTCAAAATTTCATTAAAAAGAAATAAAAATGTTGAGTAGGGCTTTAAACCTGTCCCTTCTGATTTCTAACAAAGACCCTTGAAGGAGGATCAAAAAACTTACCTAAATAAAGTGATCATAAAGTTATACTTTAAGGACTCACACACTCACTCACTGCCTCACTCACTCACTGTCTCATTCTCTCACTGTCTCACTCACTCACTGTCTCACATCTCACTGTCTCACTCACTCACTGGCTCACTCACTGTCTCTCTCTCACTGACTCACTCTCTTACTTTCTCACTCACTCACTGCCTCACTCACTCACTGTCTCACTCTCACTCACTGGCACACTCACTCGCTCTCACTCACTCACTGACTCACTGCTTCACTTGCTCACTGCCTCACTCACTGGCACATTCACTCACTCTCTCACTCACTCATTGACACACACTCACTCACTCACTGGCTCACTCACTGCCTCACTCACTGTCTCACAAAAAAAAAAAAAGTTATACTTTAAATTAAAAACCAAAATAGGGGAGAGAGGAATCCTCTACAGAAAATAAGCAAGATTTTTCCTTGTGGAAAAGAGGTGCGGAGCTTGCTATGCTTCAATTGTTAACAACTAAGCTGGCGTAAGGGACCCTGGTGCCACAGTGGTACAGGTTGGGCTGCTAACCCCCAATCAGCAGTGTGAGACCTCCAGCCCCTCCTATGAAGAATTACTCTCAGAAACCCACAAGGGCACTTTCAGTCTGCCTTCTGTGGTTGCTAGGAGTCCACACTGACTTGATGGCAGTGAGTTCGGTTTTGGGGAACTGCATGTAAAGAAAAAGGGGGCTGATGATGCTTACTTGAACATGGATGTGAGTTGGATCACATATTTCTGATCCCATCTGGATAAAAAAAATGACAAAGAATATGAATGTTTATTTCACTTTCATTTATTTCAAGATTGCTTTGTAAAATCAGTAAGGAGAAACAAAACACAGGAAACTGACTTAGCATCAATGGGACCAAAATAATGAGCTGCTATTTAAAACAACGACATAGACAGGCCAAATCAGAAAGGTTGGCGATATCCAATGCTAGCAAGAGCATAAGGAAACAAGGTTCTTCCTATACCACTGTAGGGCCGATACTGATGTCACTGTCCTAGAAAGACAGGTCGGCAATATTTATTAACTTCAGAAAGGCACAAAACCACAGACCCATCAGCCTCACTATTAGATACAAATACGATGTACGGGTTTACACAGTTACCTAGATATGTCAGGCTGCACACTGCAACAGTTTTTGTATTCGTAAAAACTGACAGCAGTGTAAGAGCCCAGCATGTGACAATCATCCAAGTAAAATCACAGCCTGTAACAGAAGCATTACAAGAACGATGCAGCGCTTTAGCTGCTTTTCTGAATAGGTGTGTTAAATAACAAGTATACTACGTGCACTGTAATGTGCACTGAATATTGAATAAACCTTTTTGTGCAAATAAAAACAAATACATGGACAAATATTCATATGCTGATATTTATCTAGAATGATTTATGGAAGAAATGACAAAAACCCTTAGTCTCTGGCTTAGGTAATTCATGATATTTCTTTCTACTTCTTTTTAATAAACTCAAGAATCTCCATAGTATTTTTAATTTAGTATTCTCTTACTTCATGGATTATGGAATAGCCATATTTTATTTGCCATGCATGTCTTTATATATAAAGGGCTATAAATTTTCTGGAGTTGCTCTACTTTAATTGTATACAAGAAGTTACACTGTGTGCTTAAGTGGCTTAAAATTTTTGTGTTGAACATGTTCATGCATGAAGCCTTTTAAATTTTTTCTTAGGATAGATTCCCGGGATCACAATCTCTGGTTAAGCGATAAGACGATCACTTGAATATCCACCACCAAACTCCAGTAATTAAAAAAAAAAGATTAATAAGTGTGTATACTTATTCATTTACATGTATAAAAGATGCTATAGCAGGGTGACTTCCCTGCCCTGAGAAGTTAAGGATCATGGGACTCCACAGTACTAAAAGAGCTAAACTGCTTTGTTAAAGAAGCAACCAAGTAAACAGAAACTGTTATGTTTTACATGTCAGTAAATTGCCTCTTATTAAACACCTCATCATAGATTAATAGGTCTTCCAGTGGCACAAATACAGATTGAAAAGATCTGAGATCAGCATTCCTACAACAAATGGCAGCTCAATGTTCAGTTACCTGTAGTCCTGAGAAAGGTTCTACACATAAATGAGAATGATTCACCTGCTAGAACAGAGAGCGTTAATCAACTTCTTCTTACATTCTTCCCCGCTCACTTCATCTAGGAAAGCAAAAGAAACCGAGATATGAATTTGATGACGTGACTAGAGAAAAAAAGTGACAAAAACTCTAAGACAATTACCTTTTCCATAAGTCAGATTTTCTTTTTTGGTACCAAGGGCAGTGAGAATAATGGGCAATAATTCCAAAGATCTTCCATTGATGAGACTGCCCTCTCTGATGGCATCAATAAACTCATTGGTTAATCCAACCAATATGGGTCCTGGAAAACTGTGAGCCTAAAAGGTCATGGGTAAAGTGTTAAGCAGAAATCCAGATGTCTGATATCTTCGCCCAAGAAATAAGCTCTTGTGCTGAATTAATGTTGACTTCTAAAACTGGATCTTTAAAGGATTCATGGAATCATTCAGCTGGTACATGTTTATCATTCTCACGGAGGGAAGGTCACAATCCTCCATCATCACACACATCAATGCTTCCTATATGTCAATCCTTTACAGAGACTCACACACAAACCCAGGAATTGAATATAAATATCTAGGTGGTTTACAGTGTACCCATCAAGGTTTGTTTTTAAACAAGAGCTCTTATTCATAATAGGAATTATGCTAGGTTTCACACATATAAAATTTTCTTCCTTTCACACCAATTATAAACTATCAAAATCTACGTCCCTCAATTTTTATCTTCTATCTTACCTCCAGCATCAGCAGTCCTATGATCTCAGATGCCACTTCCTTCTGCAAATCCCCTGACTCCACCAACTGGATACAAAATGTATATATCTTATGTCTCCTACGAGTTCCAGCTTCCTCAGAGCAGGGAGAACCTTATTGTTTTAAACAGGAAGTACAGATAGGAAGGGGGGAAAAAAGGAAATCTTACGAGGTTAAAGGGTAATTAAGGAAAAGAAACAGTTTTCCACTTCAACATAAAAAAAAAAGAACAATCCAATAGCTATTGCTAAGAATTCAATTTTACTTGGATTCATAATCAGTGTGCATGGAAGCAGTTGTCAAGAAATCAAAAGACATATTGCACTGGCTAAATCTGCTGCAAAAGACCGCTTCAAAGTACTGAGGACCAAAGATATCGCTTTGAGGACTAAGGTGAGCCTGACCCAGGCCACAGACACATGTACGGCTGGAAGATGAATACAGAGGACTACAGCATAACTGATGCCTTTGAATGCGGTGTTGGCGGACAATATTGAAAGTAGCAGGGAGTGCCAGAACACACACACCTGTCTTGGAAAAAGTACGGTTCAGGTGGAATGTATCTTCCAAAAAAGGATGGTTAAGATTTCATCTCCGCAAGGATCAACCTAGAACCCCCTCACAGGGGGACGAATAATGGAAAAGTGGGTGAGGGGGGACGGAGGATGATGTGAGAAGTGGAAAAAATAATCTAGTAACTTATCAAGGGTTTGTGAGGAAGGGTGGGCAGGGGAGGGAAGAAATGGGGAACTGATATCAGGGGCTTAAGTGGGAAGAGAATGCTTTGAAAATGATGATGGCGGCATATGTGCAAATGTACTTGACACATTGGAGGAATGTATGGATTGTGATAAGAGATTTAAGAGCCCCCAATAAAAGTCTAATTTAAAAAAGCATTTTCATCTCATGTACTTTGGATATGTTATCATGAGGAACCAGTCTGTAGAAAAAGATGTCATGGTTGGTAAAGCACCAACCAAATATGCTTCCATCGACTCAATGCTGACTCACAGTGACCCCTGACACTGTGACTGCTTACAGGAGTAGAAAGTCTTTCTCCCGCGCTGGTGGTTTCAAACTGCGCACAGGGTCAGGGAAAAAGAAGACCCTTAACAAGCTGGAATGAAACAGGGCCCTCAAACATAATCACTGTGAAGAATGCACAGGACTGGGCAGTGTTTCCTTCTGTTGTCCACAGGGTCACTATAAGTTAGAGTAGACCTGAGGCCACCTAACAACTCTAACTCCCTAGAGGTGAAGACGGTGAAATGTGTGTCTCATGTAGTTTGAACATGTTGTCAGGAAAGACCAGTCCCTGGAGAAGGACATCATGCTTGGTAAAGAGGCAGCGAAACAGAGGAAGGCCCTTGCCAAGAGGCTGCAACAAAGGGTTCAAACATAAGAAGAATTGTGACGGCACAGGAGCGGGAAGTGGCTTGCTCTTTGGTACAGAGGGCTGTTATGAGTTGGAATATACTGGATGGCACCTAACAACAACAACAACGTTAACCTCTCAGGACCCAAAGACAGCCAGCCCATCTCATTAAACTCTACAGCTCCCTAGATAGTTGTTAAATACTACCCAATTAAATACTAAACACGGCTATTCTTTCTCCACACTTTTTAAAGCTAAAGCACAAGCAAACCAAAGTGATTTTATGAAAAGTTACCACCCCCAATCCAGCAGTATCATCTCAGACAGCCACTTGCACTCTCATCAGCAAAATTATTTGAGTTCACAAGACAAGAGATTGCTGCTTTAGTTAATTCTGTGGAATCCCTGTGGAGATTCAAATAGTAAGAAAAGTAGCAATATATGCCAACAGTAAACAAGTGTCCGAGTGAACCCCGGGAGCACTCATTATTATTACCTTTAAAGATGGCTCTTAGAAGTGCTCCTGCAGCTTTTCCTTTCACTGTTTGATTCTGAAGAAGATTAAGGAGCTGCAATCAAAGAAAGTAAAAGCTGTAAGTCTCTGGCCTTCGCCCATCTCCTCTCCCCAATGACCCTACTCAATTCTCAGTGTGAAGCATATTCATCTGCTGGGTTTGTATCACTCCGATACATAGCATAATATGTATTTAGATGAAGCTGGACAAATCTGAACATGAACCCATATTGAGTATGTACTTAACCAGCAGTAGGCATTGTGCTATTTTCTTGAGGATATACACTCATTCAACATGCTATTTTTCTTTTTAACAAAATGAGCAGAGCCTACAAACAGGGCAGGAAGGGTAAGGGTGATGGAACAAAAATTCAGAAAAGTAGTAATTGCAAAGCAAACAAGGAAGAGGTTGAGACAGATGTTAATTGAGGAAAGGGGCACAATTTCAACTAGCTGGGAGGAGCTTCCTGAGGGAGGTGCAGTGCTTCCAATCAGTTCGTTTCTGTTCAACCTTGTGCTGAGAAATTACACTTCTACCCCAAGTATACTGAATCAGACTCTTAGTGGGCTACAGGGCCAGCCCAAATCAGAGCCAAACTGACCCCCTCCCTAGAAGGATGTGCTACAGAGAACAACACTATACCTACGGGTTGGGGAGAGGAGCCTGCCTGGCACGCCCACACGGAAGCAAACCAAGAAGGAAAAAAGAGAGAGTGAGGGTCTAGACCCCATATCTGCACACAAAGCCCAGAGACGATGTCCCTGCACAGAGGTGATAAGGCACAGAGAGGTCTGTAGGGCCAACAAGAGCTCAAGATGGGGAGGAAGGGAAAAAAGAGGAGCTGATACCAAGGGCTCAAATAGAAAGTAAATGTTTAGAAAATAATAATGGCAACATATGTACAAATATGCTTGATACAATTGATGTATGGATTGTTATAAGAGCTTTAAGCGTCCCCAATAAAATGATCTTAAAAAAAAAACAAAAAAAGAAAGAAACTTAACAAGATCACCTAGTGATATGTGTGCACATCTGGGGAGCTTGCTAAAATACAGATTCTGATTTGGTCTATTCAGGGGAAGGGGCCCTGGTGATTCAAGCGACTCTTACATATCCCTGGTGATTCTTATGTGTTCACATATATGGAACGGAGAATCTGAATCAGAATATGAGATGGAATAGTGAATTCTCAGCTAGGGGTCAAACCGGAACAGACTGCTTTGAAGCCCTGGGTCGGTGAAATTTGGAGAGAGAGCTAGTTAGTAAAAGTGAGAAGGAAACAGCATTCCAGACAGAGTTACCATTAAAGGCCAGGAGAGGAGGCAACAAGCATGCCATGCTTGAGGGGCTGAAAAGGAAGGCCACTGTGGTAGGCAGCAAGGAAAAGAGGAACGCGGGAGGAATGGCCATCGAAGGTACAACTATTAGAATCTACTCATTCGGAATGAAAGAGAAAGACAGAGACCAAAGACTCAGAAAAACTACAGAACTAAAAGTCTATACAAACTATGAGCATCATGTACTGAAACTAGAACTAGAAGGTGCCTGGCTACCACCACCACCCATTCTGCTCAAGTCCTAACAGATGGTCCTGACAGAGAGGAAGAAAAAATGTAGACTAGAACCTCAAGTTCGTATACCTCAATTATCATACAAGTTCCTAGAGGGTGTGAAATCGGGGACGTCCCAAAGTTATAGCCCTGAGATACTCTTTAAACTTTCAATTAAAACTTACCCTACCGCCAGCCGCTCTGTGCGAGGCAAACGAGGCTTTCTACTCCTGTAAAACTTACCCTGAGGTCTCCTTTCAGGCTAAATAGCACAATGACTCACAAGATAAAAAGCATCCCCCATGAGGACAGTTGTCCCTTGGTATCCACAGAGGGACTGGTTCCAGGACCCCTGAAGATACCAAGGTCCACAGATGCTCAAATCTCTTACATAAAATGGCAATAATTTTTGTATATAATCACTGCATTCTTTTAATCATCTTTACATTACTTATAATACCTAATGTCATGTCAATAGAATTTTATTCTTCCTCTTAGTGTTTGAGGGATTGTTTTGACTACTTACGGTAATTATTTTTTAGGAACCATATTTCCCCCTGGAAATATTTTCAATTTAGTTTGTTGAATACATGGATGTGGAACTCACAGATACAGAGGGCCAAGTACTGAATGCTCCTTTAAAAAAACCATCTACACGAGACCAAGATCCCAACAATTAATTTAAAACAAAGATGAGAAGGTAAGGGGACAGTAAAAGATAGATGTCTGTAAACAAAATGGTCTGAGCATCAATAAGACCTTTCATTGTGAAGAATGTAACAATGTCAAGGGGGGGGTCGGAGTGGGGACCCAAACCCATCTGTAGACAATCAGACATCCAACATCCCCCCAAAGAAGGGTCACAAGGAAGGGATGAATCAGCCGGGGTGCAGTATAGCACCGATGAAACATACAACATTA